CTTGCCATTGAATGCACATGTGCAAAGTGATTTGCAAATAGGCAGTCACAGAATGAAAACATAGTGTCATTTCTTGTCATTGAGATTCCATGCGGCAGGGGATGGAAGGAACATCGGCTCAATGGGCAAGGAAGCTTTGTCGGATGCAACGAGCGATTGATGGCATCATCACTTGAAGGTGCGGGCAAAGAGGGTGTGAAGAGCTGGTGCGACGCCCCATGGTTATTACATACCTTTCATCTCCATCCAAAGTTGCCAAGGCAATAGCCATCCTGGCCCAATGTGTGACCATCCGGCTATATACTCCCAAGTGCTCAGATCGTTGCGATTTTCTTAAACTGAGTCTGTGCCTGTGGGAAAAGAACTTTGGAGGGCTCGGTGCGAAACGGTGTGCCCTTGCAGAGTCGGCTCTTGATTGTGTTGAAGCCCGTGGCGCCGAAGGAAACATTGCAGTGAAACTCAGCTCACTGAAAGGCAACCAACATTGAACTCGCCATCAAAAAACATTGGTTTAAGTCAAAATCGGATGCAAGACAAAGCGCAGGAAAAGTTAAACCCTGACCTGAATAGTGTGCGTAGACTTGCCAATCGACGGGGAACTTCTTGGTTCCGCCAGTCTCTTCTGAATGAAAGTCTGTCTCCACACCTGAGAAGTGCCATAGTGAAAACGTGCCCTGGCTGAGAAGAGTGTAATGTCGGCCATCAAAAGTATTGATGTGCGGATCACCTGTGCTACCTCCACCACTGGGTGCATACAAATACCATTGAGTTTGGACGTTCTCCACTTTTGCAAGGTTAGAGCAGCACCGGCAGTCACTTAGGTCTGGCGGTGGACCCAACGGGGCGAAGATGAATCCTTCCTGGCTTGCACAACGGTCTGCGCATTGACCAATAGTGAGCCCTGTAGCTCCGGGGTTGATAAAGCCTGCGCATCTGCAGTTTGGGCCGCACTCGAAGTCGTAGCCAGAAGGAGCTGGTGGGGGGAGTGTCTGCGAGTATAAATACCACTCAGTAATCACAGGGGTATTTTGATCAAGGTCTCTGCAGCACCTGCAGTCAGTGCTTCCGCTTGGTGGACCGTTTGGGGCGAATATGAATCCTGGGAAGCCTTGACAATGTGCAAAGCAATTACCAATATCAAGCCCGTTCACAGAGTTGACAAAAACCGTGCATCTGCAATTTGGGCCACATACAAAGGTTGAGCCAAAAGGAGCTGGTGGCACCACAAGTGCCTTCACCTGTTCCTCCAGCTGTTGCTCCAGAGGTTCCTCCTGTTGCTCCTTGGCTTTCTGCAAAAGGCAACTGGGCTCGAGAGGCTCGAGCTCAGCAACGGTTGCAACGGTGCTCACCACGAAGAGCGAGAGTGCAGCCAAGGCCGACATGGCGGAGGTTTCCGGAATCACGAGAGACGAGTGTGCTTGAGCAGCGAAACTTAACATCACTGGATTGGTTTAAGGGAAAATTTACAGGAAACCATGGTTTTTACCATCAAATATAGGGTTTTCCTGTAAATTTTCCCATCATCCAATTCTATGATAACAGGAATGACCATGTTTTGTTGCATATGCTGCATATGAATAGTTTGTTGAAGTGTTTTGCTCGTGCAGGTTGATTTTTGGCGTCACTGTCAATGTCATGAATCTCTCCAAATCCGCCGCCTCCACTTCAATCGAGATGGCAAGCTCAGGAACTTAGTGGTCATACGAACCCTTCTGCTGTCATCTTTGGGTACAACTCCCAAGTGAAGCTGCGAAACAGGTGATTGGAGAGTGTGTCTACAAACACAAAACAACACAACATGCATCATTATCGAGTCTGCGAACCTTTGGACTATATAGTCCATTGCTATACAGTCCCAAGAATTAGTTAAGCACGCTGTGGCACGGACCAGTGCGATAGTCGTCAGCAACTCTTGGACATGGTGAAGCTGTGTGTGATGTTACCGTGCCTCAGTTTCCATCAGCCTCTCTGATTCATCAGTCTCTCTGCATCTACCTGTCATATCCTGCCATTCGATTCATTCGAACTTTGTCTCACAAGAAGCTAGTCAAAGAATGTCAACGAGAATGTCAAAGAGATATATATTATATATACACATATATATATATATATACATATATAATATATAATATATATTATACATATATATATATAATTATATATGTGTGTGTGTGAACAAGTATGAACGGCTGAAGCTAGTTGCAGAGCAAGTCCTGCCATGACAAGCCGCCATGACTTGGTTTTTGAGGCTGTGCCTGAGGCCCTGTCCGTTGACATCTGCGTCATCCAGGTCCACCTCGAATTTGTCGAATTTGTGCAGCTTGGGTTGCCAGATTTGCCCACGGGAAGCGACTGGAAACTGTTAGAATGTTAAAAGAATCCAAAAACATATCAAAACCAAAACAGTATAATACAGTCGTGTCTCCAATACTCACAATCTGTCCGAATCTTTCCATGGCAATTCCCTTCCAACCTCGGTGTCATTGGAGATGTTCACTGCTGGACCTTGGCACACGAGTCAGAAGTCAGGAAAACTCCATCACTGTCCATCACACACAACATCACACAACAGCAAGAACGGCAAATTCTGTGTTCTGGAGAAACACACCGTCAGCACCCACAGTACTTCGCATGACAGCTTCAAACATGCTCGTGGATTGCATGCAAACTTCACAAGTGTGACTTTTCAATTCCAAACTTCATGACTGGATACCAGCCACGGTGCTATTTGAGGCTGAACCAGAAGACTCAGGAAATTGGATTCGAAACCAAAGGACACACAAAGGATCACAAAGGACACATTAACCCAGCTTTGCAACCCAACAGCAGGTTGCGTTCACGGGTTCCCGGGTTCCAGCGTGCCGTTCGGGTTTTTGGGCTCGACAAAAAACGAGTCAACACTCCAGGACCCAGAGATTGAAACTACCCAACTGCCATTGCTAAGCTCCACGCCAGCTGCTTCAATGCCGCAGCGGGTGCCCAAGAGCTGTGCGTCCAGAAGCAAGCGGCCGTTGCTGCCATAGGCACGAAACCTTTGAAATAAATTGAAACTGAATCAGGGAAGCCGAAACTGATTGCATATGGGAATGGTTGATCTATGTTGATCTTGTGATTGGAATCCACTGGAGACCTTTCTCAAGAAGACGCTCAACGATTGACGGATGACGTGCACAGCGAATCAGTCAAAATTTTCCGTGGCTTCCTGCTGGCATCGTGCACCAGGCTGCACATTTAATGCTGTAACATCGATGGAGGTCCCAGCAAACACCTGGCAGTTGACACAGACACCAAGGAAACATCGATTTGATGATTTGCTCATGGGAAAAGTGTTTGAAGATTTATGATATTTATGATATTTAAGATTCATGATGAATGATGGCCTGTACTGGGCAACCCGTAGAAGAAACACCATACACAAGATTGCGCCATATTCCATCAATGTAAACAGTTATTCGAAGCAGCAGCAAACACCCAATTCCTGGGACCGCATGTGGAGGCAAATGCATGCAGATACGGAATACGGTAACAACGTGGATGCAGTCCATGTTCATCTAAGTTCCGGAATCTCCCTCGTTTCTAAGTGTTGTTCCAGCCTCATGACCTGCCAATAACTAAGAGGTGCTTGTTTAGTTCATTGAGCAACTTGGACAGGAATAGGATCCTTCTTGCATTGTCCCTGCCTTGGAGAGCTTTCCCTTTGGCAATGGAAGGACCAGTGGGTCCCACTGAAGCCTTTCGCGCATTGACATTTCCCGGTGCTGACAGATTGCACATCAAAAGCAAGTTTTGTACTGATTTGCTCAGAGGTGATTCACCACATCCCTTAAAAATGATATGTCAAAGGTTAGAAATTGATGGGGTATTTCTACTTGCCGACATGTTGATTGATACGTCTCCCTGAATGCAATCACACCGAGAGCCTGAGATCCAAATTGATGGGATAGTGAAGCCTCTCCAAGATCTCATGTGCTCTGTGTTTTTCTGGTTTTACGCTTTGAAGAAAAATAAGCCATGCACATCTCTACACATTGTTTCAACATGTCGAACGAAGCATAGAGCGATGAAACCCATCTGTCCAAAGAACAAACCCGAATTCTGCCAGAAAAGTATGTGTAGACTGGTTTTCTCCAAAAATATGCAGAGTTTCCATTGCAAATAAAGTTCCGTGAAAGCCATTGACTTCCAACTATTACTGACTGTCCTTGCGCGTTTGCTCGAGGGTATGTCTTCACAAAGTCAGCAGGACTCAACCTTGCAAAGTTCTACAATTGCTCCCACCTGCCAGCATCTGTGGAAAGTTGTAGCTTGGCGGTGTATACCACCCGGCGGGCCTGGAAGACAAATGATACAAGATGTGAACAGGTTGAACACGTTTTAATCGGTTCTCCGGCTGATAGCTCGTCATTGTACAACCATTGCCCTGCTCTGGCACGAAGACAAGATCTGTTACTGGCAGTAAGAGATGGATAGTGGTTCTTCATCAGTGTTCCCAGTATTTCACAGTGTTCCAAATCAGCAAAATCTGCACATCACTTTGGAAAAGTTTGGCTGGTTTTCCAGGAACAACACAAGGTCCCTCCTCTGCCATCTCCTCTGGCAACACTGGCGACAAGCAGCTCCTTAGGGGCCCTGGATCGCCCAGGTATGAAGACCAGACAACTTTTGATCAAAAGAAACTGGTTCAAAGGTGGTGCATCCGCCAAATCCGCCAATACATGAGACATCCAAAAATTGGAGACAATGGATTATATTATATTATATATATACATTATATTATATTCACATATATTCACATAGATAAACTTTGATTGATGTCCACTTGCCTAATCCTGTAAACATGCACAGAATTCGTGTCTACAGCTTTTGTTGTCTCAGCTACGGCAGTCCCACCTCACATGATATCCAAAGTGGTGGTTAAATCGAGTCGTGGCTTATGGCTGTGACGCCTTAGCCTTAGCAACCTTTGAACACCTTTGGCATGTCCCGACAAAAGGAGGGGCTCATCTGGACTCATCTGGGCTCCCAAACACCAAGTGTTCTGCATCCTGGCAGCCTTTGAGAGTTTGACCACACGCGCAGAAGCGAGTCACCTCGAAGCGTTCAAAGCGTGGCATCACGCGTTTGACCCAAGCGGTGTGTATGCATTGTGTTCTCATGTTTCTATCACCGGCACGAAGGTCTACTTTTTTCTTGAGTACCTTTGGATGACCTATGTTTCGCATGCTGTGTTTTAGTCTCAAGACAGAAGGTTTGAGTGATGCCTGCTAAGCCTGCTACAGTACACTTCCTGTGTAGCCTTTTCTCATACTTGATGCTTGATTATCTTGAGTGTATTTGGTCAGAGTTCTATCCCAGAGGGATTCTGAACAGTTTCCTGGGCCTCTGGATCTGTGCAGCGCATCACGCGTGCGCGGCCAGCTTCAGACACAAATACTGGAAGGCTGTTCTCAGCTCCTGTAACGAGGCATAACGAGGCAGAACAAAACATAAGGCGACATGTTGTGTAAATGTTCAAGCGGATGACTCGAAGCCAGGAACAACGCAAAAGTGACACGCCACATTAAATGCTGGCACGGAGAGTACAACAGGTAAAGCATCCACAGTGTGATGTTGATCTTTCAATGATTCATAACATATATATTATTATATATTATTATATTATATTATACTATATTATATTATATTATATTACATTATATTGTATTATATTATATTATATTACAATATATCATATCATAATGTATTATAATATATCATATCATAATATATTATAATATATCATATCATATCAAATTATATTATATTATATTATAATATAATATATCATATTATATTATATTATAATATATCATATTATATTATATTATATTACATTATATTGTATTATATTATATTATATTACATTATATTGTATTATATTATATTATATTATAATATCATATCATGATATATTACAATATCTCATATCATATTATATTATATTATATTATAATATAATATATCATATTATATCATATTATATTATATTATGTTATAATATAATATATCATATTATATTAAATTATAATATATCATATCATAATATATTATAATATATCATATCATATCACATTATATTATATTATAATATAATATATAATATTATATTATAATATAATATAATATATCATATTATATTATATTATATTATAATATATCATATTATATTATAATATAATATATCATATTATATTATATTATATTATATTATAATATATCATATTATATTATAATATAATATATCATATTATATTATATTATAATATATCATACTATATTATATTATATTATATTACATTATATTATATTATAATATAATATATCATATTATATTATATTATAATATATCATATCATATCATATTATATTATATTATATTATAATATATCATATTATATTATATTATAATATAATATATCATATTATATTATATTATAATATAATATAATATATAATATTATATTATATTATCATATATCATATCATATTTTATTATATTATATTATATTATAATATATCATATTATATTATATCATATTATAATATATCATATTATATTATATTGTAATATATCATATTATATTATATCATATTATAATATATCATATTATATTATATTATATCATATTATATTATATTTTATAAAGTTTGTGTTAAATTCATTTTAATTCTATGTTTATAATATAAATCTATATAATAGTTTGACGTCAAGCTTGTCAGATCATGTCAGATCGACCAAATCGACCCAGGGAACTCAGCCAGTCCTTGGGTCTGGGACTCGCTGGCGTAAACAAACCACATGCAGTAAATGGCCTCGTCGCTGATGGAATTCAACAGTCACTGGGATGCACTGATCAAAATGCTGATGATTCTGAAATTATTTTGACATATATTATATGAATTATTTTGACATATAGTGCTTCAGATTCTACTGCTTGGTGAAAAGGGACGGGTACAAAATAAGGTCAAAATATGTCAAAATGCTACAAGAGGGTGCAACACAGAAAGTGCAACACAACATGCACTCTGCACTATTCAAGAATGGTTCGTAGGTTCGGCCTCACTTTCGAAGGATCCAGACGTTTCCAGTTCCTGTAGTGGCGCTGAAACGCCATCGAGGATTACTTGGACCTCATGGTGGCAGTACGCGTCATGAGCTTTCGGGCAGAAACTCAGAACTGAGGATGCCAAGATAATCCAAGATATTCAAGACTGCAACACCTGCAACTCCCAAAGGAAGTCTTTGAAGATGACGACAACGCGACAACTCGGTTTGGTGATCGCTTCAGGATTTTGTCTGCTGGGTTTCCCGTACTGGACGTCGCGGGCCAACCACGCTCGGGCGGAACCTCGGTGCCAGCCAGGTCCATAATGGTCCATCCAACGGATGCTGGGATGCTTGGTCTCCGACTGCGAGACATGAAGAGGATCCAAAACCTGATCAGTTGAAGTTCCAATATGGCAACAGTGTCGTCCCAAACACAAAATGCGAAGCGCAACAGCAACAGCTGTTTTAAACCATACAAGCACATGACAAGCACATAAAGGATTTCGAATATCTGGGAGCTGGGGGTGCTAAGGTTGGTCGAACTAGGCGGAGTCTGTTCAAGAGGTGAATTGGAGAGGTTAGAAACTTGGATTGGGTAACGAGCCTTGAAATGTGGTGCAATTTCCAATTGAGAAGAACATTGAAAGCTATTGAAAGCATTTGAAAGCTTTGAAAATCTTTAAAGTATGTAAAAGTGATTAAAAGTGGACTTTACGCTAGAAATCTCGATTTCCAAATGTCGCACCTCAAAGACTGGCTTCTGATCCACATGCGGTTGAGCCACCACTCCGCCCTGAACCAACGTCAGCTCCGTAGACCACGATGTTTGGAAGTTCACATCACTACCAGTTTCCAGTCTTGCCAAGTTCATACAGGATCAGAAAGGATTTTTATATATTTATATATAATTATATATATTTATATCAGATGCTTGAGAGTACTTGCCAGGAAGTTGCCCCTCTGCAAACGTCTACCAGGAAAATTGGTTGGGAGAACATTCCGATTTGCGAACAAGTAAAATAATGTAAAATAAATAAACTATGAATCACATGTATCTTGCTTTGGAAATGAATTTCTGGAGCAAAGGTTGGCAAGATGATGACGATGCTGCATGTGTTGATCGTTTGGCATGACTGTTCCACCTTGAAGCGAATCATCAGCCTCAAGGACGTGGTTCCATCCAAAGAGGCATTGCTTCTTTCGATTGTACTGGGGCAGCCTGTTATCCTGTTGTACTCATGATCGAACACTCTTCCAGTGTCCGGAAGTTCATGCTACTGCTGGGCTGCAACTGAGGCAGCAACTGATACTTACCACCTGTCAAAGCCTCTGGTAAGGGACAAATGACCAGGCTGCTGTTGAGGTTCACAGAGGGAACCTCAGAAGACGGGAGAAAGGAAAAATCAGAAACTGGGCATTTCAGTTGCAGCTGCCTCAATTCTTTCTGCACCATCGGCTTTCTTGCGCTCAAGTTTCTCCCCATTGATATTGCCCCTTGAAACTTGCCGAACCCAAGAATTGAATCAGTTTCCAAGATCCCAACCACCACTCGGTCTCGGCCTGGCTCAAAATGAATGCGGTAATCCGCTTGCTACGAGCGGCGCATGTTATGTGCAAGATGCGGGAGTTCTTTAGCAAAGTCCAACCGACCTTGTACAAGGCCGTCCCAACAAATTCAACCATCGGAGGAAATAGATGGAAATAGATGGAAATAGGGTATCTGATGCCTGCTGTACCATCTCTGAAGAAGGCACAATCACCACCAGTGTCTGGCGGAAAGTGGGATCCATAGACCTTGCTTCAAGAAATGCGTGTTGGAAATTGTTGGGAATAGAGCGTGAAGGGCAAGAAATGCACAAAATGCAACAAATAAGATCCAAAGATATCCAAAGAGACTATGACATCTATGAGCAGTGTTTGTGGAACAAAGCAAACCACTGATTCAAGTGAATTCACCTGCCATACAGAAAAAATCAGCCAGGTGCAACCTTCCATGGACTTGCCATGTGCCAAGCATAGACTAATCATTCACGAAAAATCACACATTTTTCAATCATCGTTCCATCGATCTCTGGGCTCTGAACGTAAAGGCGACGGCCTGGCTCCTGGAAGACAACCGTTGGTCTGATGTAGTTGATGACCGGAGGATCTGCCACCTGATTCAATGAATCACCAATATGAAAAAGCGCAACTTGAAATGGTGTTTGCATTGCTGCATTAACTTAAGGTATGCGACATTAATTTATTACATAGTATATTACATAGTATATTACATAGTATTACATAGTATTACATTCCCGTAATTGTTTGTGTTGATAAGTTTGATGTCAAAATACGGGAATGTAATACTATGTAATATGATCCATACTCTGAGAAATATTACATATTATCTAATACACATTCAAATACTATAAGTTTGATATGGAAAATATCAACAACTCGTTTCCATACTCTGAGAAGCCCAGCAAAGACCATGACAGGCGGTTTCGGACTCATTGGATCCTTCAGGACAGGCCTCGGCACGTGAGGTGAAAGACTTTCTATGACAAACACTCATCTCACACTATTATATATATATATTAATATGTATAATATTTTATTTCACTGTGTCTGTGTCGAAAGATCAACGCCTGCTTGCATGAGACCCCTTCCAAAAGCCGCTGTGGCGAAGGGATCAGTCTCTGGTGAAAATGAACATGGGCGACCCAAACTTCGGTTCACTTTCATTTGAAGTGTCTACTTTATGGGGCCCGTTGAGCAACCCTGGAAAAATCGGCACACATGCTGGTGCCAGTGGCCTCAAGGTCGTAAGGATCGTGAACCTTAGATAAAGCATTGATGACCTCCTGCACTTTCAGCGGCAGAGTTTCTTCTCCATCACACACCTGGAGCTCTGCATGCCTCATGTGTGCCATTGCCAGCACCCTGCAAAGTTTTCGAGGATAGACCTTTGCTCTGGTGGTTCTCCACGTCTTGCCAACTTTCCCACCCAACCACTCGCTTGCTTTCCAGGAAGGATCATAGCTGGAGTATAGCTGACTGGCTAGATCCGGAAGACGTGCAGCCAACAATGTTGTGGGTTTTGGAAATTTTTGTCCTAATGGTCCTTGCAGAAATGTGATCAATTGCACATCTGCCGCTTGCAGCAATTGCTTCAAAAAAGCACTCTGCCAAATCGACCACTTTTCTGTTCCTGCTTCTGCACCCTTTGGATGTTCTAATGTCGCAGATCCCCCGTAAGCATAGACCCACAATAGGATCTTCAGAGCAGTCAACATGAGAATGGTGCCGATATGGCACTGCCAAACTTCACGTACTGTTCGCCACCCACATCCCCAGGGATCTTCACTTGTTCTCAACGGCCGTGGAAATGGAGAATCATCGCATGGTATCCATCTTGCAGCACTATAAGTCTCGCAAGGGGGACCAAGGTGTGCACCAACCACTCGGCGGCTGCGTATCAGTTGGACCCAGGTGTCTAACTGCAACGCATTGCCATGCGTCTCATGAATGTCAACATCGATACACACTGGTTGGATGTTGGTGTTCCAATGTATCCAACTTGCAATATCTCCTTCTCGACGATGCCCTGAAAATACGATCAAGAAGAACTTGCTGTTTGTGGCTAGCGGTCTGGGAATCCAATCAAAGTCTGGTTCCCATGCTGAAGCCTGCCTCCACCATGTGTCCTCCATGCTGGATGTGTCACGCATAACATTTGGTACTGTGAAATCTTTGTTTCTTCTTTCAGTTTTGGGTCTTCCTCCTTTGCCAGGCGGAAGGCAACCCCAACACTGCCACTTTCGAATCTCCTCCTGTGTTGGTGCCTCTTTGCTGCACCCACCTGCGTCATCACAAATTTGCAAAACCGATGTCATGTCTTGCTCGGTAGCCCAACACCACGCTCTGCCGGACTCTGCTCCTCGCAACCCTTTCTGATGCACTGCTTGACCTGACCCAATGTCTTGTTGATCAAACATCTCAGTTTCCTCAATGCTCATCGGCAGGAAATTGCGGAAATGAAAAATCCAACAGGCATCGGTGCTCCATTGCAAATGTCGCATGAGCCTCGGTCTAGTATGAAAATTCTTTCCACAACATCGACAGACTCCATCTTTGACGAAGCGACGTACAGCCATCCGCTGTCCATGCACCTTCTGCTGATGCACTGCAACAGCTGCTGCTGTCGTGAAAGCGGTGTGGCAAACTTGGCACGTAAATTCTTTGCATTCCTCATCATCCCCAGCAACGTCCTGAGTACACACCCATCCCATTTCTTCAAGCAAGGTGTTCTGCTCCTCAGCATGCTGTTTCAGCTGACAGTATGTGTCAAGCCTGATAAGGTGACTCTTTTCGGCTTTTTTCAACAACCTCTTGAGTTCTCGTGCAGCATCTCTGAAATGATGCCAGCACTCCAACTTATCTACTTCGACCAATTCTTCAGGAATAGTTTCATGCCCCAATTGCGACTGCCACCAGAGAATTGCTTTTTGCAAACCGTAAATCCAGGACTCCTTTTGTGCAACATGATGGTTTTGTAATACCGCAGCAACTAAAAAATCATCAAAGTTTTGGAGCAAATGGATAAACAAACGGATTCTCTGCAAATACAACAATTCAAGCGGCATGGCTGAGTTGGCATCTTTGGCCAAGGCAAAAAGGTCTTGATGAATCACGTCCCCATTCTTGTTTCGAGCTTGCAGGACTTGATAGGTTCTGAAGACTGCAGCTTGCCAAGCCTGATACTCTCCTTGCGTCAAGTCCCACAAAGTCCCAGCATGGAGTGTAAGAATGGACATTCCCATGCTTCTCAACAACATTTGCCTTTTGGAAAGAGGAATTTGTTTGTCTGACAACACACGCTTCAAAGGGATCAAATTTTGGAGAGTGGCTGCGACTCTGACTTTCATTTCAGGCAACTTCGATCCACCTCGAACAATGTGCCCTCCCAAGTGCTTGTAGTGCGCAACAATTGGGATGTCAAGCTTTCCCCAATGCTCGCTGAGAAGAGGGAGAGTGTTGTTTCCTTCCACCTCCACCTTTTGCCGTTCTCTCACTGCTTTTGGGCCTCTGAATTCCAACATAACAGCAGTTTTTCCTGGGCCACATGAGAGACGCATTGCATGCTCTGCCAAGGTGTCGGTGACAATGGCTAACAACTGTGTGACTTTGGAGACAAGGCTGGCAGCACTTCCTGTCACCATCAGGGCGATATCATCCACCCAGGACAAGTGCCTATTCACCCTACCAAAACTAGTAGGCTCAGTGAGTTCCAATCCAGCCTCGGTGGCTCTTTGTCGCACAACCTGGAGTATGTGAGTGAGCGCAAAGGAGAACAGCACATCTGCACTAGGGTCTCCCGGCCTGGAGCCGGTCGCCGGGGCCATAACAGCGTTCCCCTGAGGGATAATGAACCACGTATGGCTCAATGTTGCTGAGACTCCATCTGCGACGAGATCCGACTGGGTCGCTTTTCTGACAAAATCACCGCTGCTAATGTTGGACAAAAAGTCCTGGAAAACCGACTCAGGCAAACGGAGTTTCTGGAAGATCTGGCAAAACTCTTTCACAGTTCCCCCGGTGTTTGCGATCATCGGTTTAACCACAGAGTAAAAAGCAGCTCGGATGTCAATGAAAATAAGCCCCAATGATTGCTTCAAACATCTCGCAGTCGATTGCCAAAGTTTGACTTGCAAGTGTAAAGCCTCAATGCCGATTCCCTTGCGCCCCCCATACTGTAGTGGTTGAGCAACACGTTCCAAACCTTGCACAAGTCTTGGTCTCCATGCTCGGGACAACATTCTGGCAATAGTAGGTTCAAGCAAAATTGCACGGTAGTTTCCCATGCATGCCGCGCTACCTTTTTTGTGCAGTGGCAGCAACCAACCTCCTGTGAGCTCTGGTACATTTTGCCGGCGCAATGCCGTTTTCAAATGTATGGGGAAAATTCTTTTAGCAGCTTGTTCAACATTCATTTGATAAAGCTCAGTTCCGAGGTTGTCTACCCCAGGGGCTTTAGCACTGTTGAGGGCTCGGATGGCCCCCTCAACATCATACAGCGTGGGTATCTGCAACAGTTGACGAAGATCCACCTGCAAACACCTTGGCTGAGACTTCATCATCAACTGCTCAAAGGAAACTACCTCAGAATTTTCAATTGCCCCGAATTGCTTTTGCCATGCCACCGCAATGTCAAGCCTCGATCGCTTCCAAGCACCTTCACCGTCTTTCAACCCTGGCAAATGTCGGCAACTCTTTCCCTTGCTCTTTTGAATCATCTGTTTTGGCTTAAGGATCTTGTACAAGTCTGATCCCTGGGCAGTTTGAGCACCCTCAATTTTGGCCTGAAGCTGAGACTGAATCCAAGCTTTCCAGGCTATCTTCTTTTTGGTGCGAAACGCTCGATCAACTGCACTTCTGGCTTCAAAGACTAAGGCATCCTGTTGCAAAACTAGATGACGACAAAATGTCCACTGCTGCAGATGTTGCCTGACTTCCTCTGGTTTGCACCACACTTTGAAACACATGGCCAACAGCCCTTTTTCATAATCTCGCTGAAACTGCCGGTGCTGTTGTCTCAAGTCTTTGCGAATGCAAACAAGATCCCAGGTTTCCTGATTGAAATAAAGCTGGCGCTGATGTCTTTTCTGCTTCGGGAACCAATATGCCGCTTCTTTCTGCATGAAATTGCGCATATTGCACCAGTGCTCATTGACATCTAAATTCCAGTGCTGCTCCGGCATGTAACTCAGCAAGTCATAGCCGTTGTCTTTACTTGCCCTAACAGCAGCCCGATCATATAGACCTTTTTTGAGAAATCCCTGATGTCCTTTGACAGTGAATTCCAATGTCAATTCCAAAATGAGCACATGGTGATCTCTGTCCTCATTCAGCAAATCAATGTCGATGTCCACATATGATTTTGCGATGCCTTCACGACATCTTTGATCCACTGCAATGTAGTCAATTCGTGACTTTGCTCCTTTTGGTCCTTGATAGGTACATGTCGTGCCCTGGTGGAATTCAGACCATGTGGAGGGTACTATGAGATTCCATTGCTCACAAAGCAAACGAAAACTCTCTCCCCCCAAATCCTCAAAGTCAGCAGCATGCTCTCCAATGCCATTGCTAGGAACACTGCCGATTTTGCAATTGAAATCACCCATGAAAAGAACATGCCCTTCTCGAGGAATTTTCCCAAATACATCAGCCACATCTTTCCACCACGCAAGGATTTCCTCTGCAGGACGACCTGCTTGAGGTGCATACCCTACCAGAATTTCCAAATGAAGCCCTCCAAAATTGCAACTAACTGCAAGCATCCGCGGATTGGAACTCCAGACACAAACATCTTTGTCGATCTGGATCTCACAGTTACAAATATTTTGCAATGCTTGAGTGTCCATCCACAATTCCACTCCTGCTTGCCCATGTTCTCCAGCTGAGATGAAACAATCAAAAGGACCATAAGTGACATGTCTGGATTTTCGTGCTCTTGATTCTTGTACAGCCAAAATATGGATACCTGCTTGTTGCATTTGATGCAAAAGTTCCACCGTTTTCTGACTGACTTGTCCACCGATAAGTCCTGATTGTTGTTCCAGTGTGCAAACATTGGCTGTGGCAATTTTCAAATTTGTTGACCATTTCTCACCCAAGTCTCTCAACATTTTCGGCCTCAAAGTCGAATCAATGTCACCCTTATTTGGATCTGGCTGGTCATTCCGCAATGTTTGCTCCAAAGAAGGGATCTCTTTGCCGGGATTAATCTGCATCCATGCCCATTCTCGAAGCCTTTGTTGCAACAGACATTCACTGCGGAGAATGGCCTCACATGGTGGCTTCCAGCCTTCGCAAATTGCCCCAGCTATACTATCAGCCATCTCATTCCATGGATTTCCTTCGTGTGCATGTACATGAAAGCCAGCACACAAATCAGCACTATGCTGAACCAAAGAAATCATGATTCGAGCTGCAAACTGTCGTTTTTCTTGCACGCCACCTCGTGTGCAACAGTTGAAGCTGCCAAAAGTGCCCTGCCCCACAGACAACGCATCATAATGGCAATGAATAATCTTCCGCTGCAAATGTGGCTGTGACAACAAAAATTCCGCAACTCCTATCAAAGCAGTGGCTTCAGCATTCATTGAATTCACTTCACATGGGCTCAAATGGTCATTGATCAACCCACCAGCAAATCCCACATAGCAGAACTGCCTGATGCCATGTGCTATGCTTTCTTCAATCACAACAAACGACCAAGCTCCCTGTCTTTTACGACAAGATCCATCAGTGAAAACATGCCAAGTGCCTTCCTCTCCCATGGACATCGATGCGTTCTGAAGCGCAATTTGCGCAAACGGATGCAAATGAGGAATTTCGACCCTGCATCTATTAAAGCCCACCCATCCAGGAGCACGAAGACATGCCAAGGCCCTGTTGATTTGTTGGATTTCATAACTCACTTCTGGATCGAAATGGTATCCATCTGTCATGTGCTCAAGGAGATCCGAGTTACCCTCCTTGCAGCTCATGTCATTTTCATGACGGACGCCTGGTACTGGTGTGTGATCCAAGTTACCCTCACACCCAGTCCGTAAAATGGCGCTTGAACCTTTGTCTGTGTCCTTCCAATTCCGACCATCCATCAGCACCATGTGATCTTGGGAATCACACTCCTGATTGGTCGTCGAGGTGTGATGCGTCTGGCTTCGTGCTCGGATCCAAGTCCATTCACTGTCGTTGGCAGAACCCTGTGTAATGCAAGCTTCCACGCCATCATTTGGACGTCTGTGCGCTTGACAAGCGCCATCTTGGGCAATCTGCTGCAAAAAACCGAAACCATCCTGGGGATTTCTATGCCAATCCAGCACAAACCCTGGCTTTGTTTCATGCTGATATGACTGCCCACCATCATCAAGATCTGTTCCAATCAAAGTCACCTCATTTTCTTCAAGTGACATACTACAACACTGCTGTCGTAGCGTCTTGCATACCTCCACAAACCCGGCATCGATCATCTGAACTTCATCAGAAGCCATGATGTTCTTTTTCTTGCTGTGCAATTGCAAGAATGACGTATGTTCAACCGGCTGTTCAAAGATCTCTTGTGCCGTGCCAATTAAGATCTGCAGAACATGCTCCGGCCTCCACACAAGAATTCTAGCTCTCAGCAGATCGCCACCTTGCCAATGTTGTCGAACATCAATCAAACGAACTCCATTCACGGCCCAATGTGGATAGGCATTTTGCGATCTGGCATATGCAAACCAAAATGGAGGATTGTTCAGGACTTCAACAACATTGACCCCTGCTTCTCCTTCTGGGACAGCAATAGCCCAGTACTCATTGGCATTTTGAATTTCCTTCACCATGCCTTCGGCCGCCACAATCTGCTGATTGACAAGGATTGGAACACCCTGGTGGGACCCAAAACGTGCAATGAAGTGAAAAACCACATTCTCTTCATCCAGCATGTCCGAAGTGGCAGATTGAACAAAGAAAAATCCTGCAGTTTCCATGTCAAACGGCCACAATGATCGCATTTGGTCAATCCATTCCAGGTCATAGATCCAATCAGAGTCAATAATAATTTCCCGATGGCCGAGTGGAAAATTTGCCGGAGAGATTCCATGAACACGACATGTAATGCTCTGCCTCGAACCTCTGTGATCCAAAAGGGTTTGCACCTGCAGAAAGAATGGTTCCACTCGCTGAATGGTGTTTTCGGCTTCAACAACCTGTGAGTGTACTCTTCCAATCCAAGTTCTGCACAACGTTCCATGTTCATACTCATACCAAACATTTGGTTCCATGTGCATTTCACCAAGTCTCACATGGCATGGACGTAAAGCATGTGGTGGACAATGTTGATGCAGATTCAAGTGAGCTAAGATGACTCTGTCAGTGGTTGCACTAACCAATCGTGCAGCATACGGCTGAGAGCGCACATGAACATCTGGCGCAGCCTGCTCAACCACAAGCACATGACGTATAGAGTCATCCATAGACTCAGGCATGTCAACAACAACAAGAAGCGCAATGGCTCTGGGACCAATGACATCCAAGGGTTGTGGGTGCACATTGAACACCAGCAAATTTCCATAGGCAGCATGATCCCTCCAAACATGCAGAATATCTTCCAGCAACAAATCCAAATGGTCTGGGTTGAACTCGATATCACGTCTGCCTAAGTCGATGAGTCCAAGGCCAAAAGTCACTGCTAACCAAGGCCTGTCATCATCCTCACTTACACGTGCTATTTGTTCAATTTCATCTTGAAGGAATTCCAAATGCTGCATTCCAAAGGCGATGGGCGCCTGCACATCCTCATGTTGGAGCTCTTGATCCTCAATCTCCAACCAACCCTCAACTTCCCATGGATAGGGATCCTCCACATCCATTTGAAAGGATATAGGCGCAGTTGACATGAGCAACATTTCATCTGGTTCGGATTCAATGTCATCGCTTGGCACAACCGTGGAGATATCTGTCTCATCATCAATAGACGCTTCGGAAGGTTCATCATCATCGTCCAGTCTTCTCACACTACCAGTAAGCAAAACTGCCGGCTGAACATCCAAAAGTTCTGGTCCTGCCAAGAAATCGTCTTCATTCATGCCCGCATGCCGAAGACAACAAACAAGTGCTCTGCCAACACATGCTTCAGGGTGATGAGCCGCATGAAAGAAACCTTCCACATTTGTGCCAACTGGGTACAACACTCCTCTCAATCTACGCAAGACGGGCAATGTGGTCCCATAGTAAAGTGCAGTTTGGAAACCTTGACTTTCCCCTTGCACAACAATGACATGTGCAACTGTGCTCGGTTTGCCTGGTGGCTTCGGCCTCACCACTTGGCAATTCACTTCTCTACCATTGTCCAAGTCATACCAAGCATTTCTACACGCTTGGACAAAGGCATCGAGAGTCATGCTATCATACATTCTCACTTCTCGAGACTGCAAAGAAACATGGATTCGATTTTTGGAGACATACCACGTTTCAACCACTTTTCTGGTACCTGCATGATGCAACTGCTGGATACTGGTCTGCAAATCGGTCCACCAGGCATCTTGCGGTTCAATTCTACGTTCTTCATTTGGGAAAACATTTTGAGGAAGGGCTGGCCAAGGGCTGCCACACTCCACACCATTTCCCTGACATGAAAACAAATCGGCTCCACCATGCATATCCAAGCCATGATTCATAGAGCCTACCTTTCGTAAACAACATTTCACTTCATGCCAATCCATGATCTGTCCATGCAAATGCCAAAAACATCGCAGAAGAGCATCCCTACAAACTTCATTGATGCAAACTGACACAGCATCTTCACCGGAAAGGCAAATCACATCCAACTGCTTAGCAAAAGTGACCCGTTTGCTAGCAGTTGGGGAACGGGCGCTAAGACAACACTTGGATTTATCTGGACCTTCATCTGCATTCAGCTGACCTAAATGGCAACTTCTGTCCTGTGCTAAGGATCCAACACTGCAACGCAGGGGCTCAAACTCAGAACACGGACTTCCAAAAATGCAGACATTTTTTCCAAGCTTGTCTAGAGGGTTGTGCTCATCTTCACTTGATGGTTCTCGAGTCCACGTGAAAGGCTGAGCAAACATCCGATTCAAAGCATCTTGAAAGGCTTGAACGACAAGTTTTGGACATTGCGACTGATCTGAAACAAATTCCTGCACATCCCCAATTGCAGGTTGTTCTCCATTCACTTGTCCTCCCTTTCCTTCTTTTCTGCTTTTTGCTTGAGATGCTGATTTGCAACCTTCGTTGGCGATACTGCACCTCGAAATTTGGCGACTTTCGGTGATCCTTTCCTGAGATTGGAAGGCACATTGTCGTCCTCCACCTCGATGGTGTCCTCCTCCATCTCGGCAGTCAGATCTACCAAGCCAGTCACCTGACTGACATGACTGAGCATGTCTTGCATTTGCTGCATCTGATCTGCAACATGTGGAATCTCTGGCACTGATACAATTTCCCCCGACTGTTCTAACAGACTCCTGGATGCCAACCCAACCTCTTTCTTGATGGCCTGAAGTTCTGCCAGTCGATTGTTGAATACCTCTAACATGTCCGAGCGACATGTTTGGTACATCAGCGCATGTTGCTGGATCTTCTGGACGATATTTTGCACAAACTTGTTCCACTCGCCATCCAAGTCTTCCACCTTCTTGGCAGCTGTTTTGACTTGGGCTCGAACTTTGTTGAGTTTGTTCAAATGTCCATGTGACAGGGTTTTGCCTGCAGCTTGTTTCGCCTCTTTTGTTTGAAGCTTCTCCAGTTGCAAAGCCATTCCCTCTGTCAAATCGATTCCCATACCATGCAACCCACGTAGGTGCTCCAGCAGTTTTGTCTCTTCCGTTGTCATGGGAGTATCTGATGTCTCGGCAAGCGACGGCTGTTGCTCCGGAACTGTCTGGAAGCTTGGTGTCAGTTCCTTTTCGCATGATTCTTGCATGACATCCATTCTGTATGAGGTCGAACGCGATGGGGTGGAAGTGACCCAAGGGGCCTTCTGTGGGAAAACTTGCCACTGATCTGCGCTCTCGCTCTCTTCTTTGTTCTCCTTGACATAAGATCGAGACTTGCTCCTGGATTTCTTCCGTGATGGAACCCAAACTTTTTCCCAGTGCTTGTGGCACAGCCTGCAATGGTCCAATTTGGGGCCATTCTGCGTCTGACATTCCCGGCAATACCAGGTCATTGTAAACACTGATCTGATCGCTCGTGGGATTTCCCACCAATTCCAACTGTGATGCTTCACAAGTTGACCTAGCAAGATCCCACAGCTTTTCTTTCTTCGCTTCCCCAGAGGCAAATTTGCCAACCAGCCTATCTTGGCCCTCACCAAGCTCCTCTTCCGCCTCGCAGCTCGATGCCAGGCTGGTTCCTTTCGCCTGCTGATCAGTGTAATGCCTATCTGCCAGAAATCCGACGGCCCAACACAACGCGAGGGCCCACCGTACCATGCAAAGGTGGCGCCCCCTAAGGTTCAACTGAGGAGGCACGGGTGGGGACCCGCACACTCCCAGAGCCCAAACCTTATGTATAATATATCTATATATAATATAATTGTGTACATTTTTAGATCATTTGGCAGTGTGTCAAAACCAATAGTACCCCTTTTTTGTTCACATCAAAATAGCTGGGATTTATGGATGTTCATCCCATTAAAAATGGTATTAATAGGTATTGATCCATATAGCAATATCACCAAGATCACCAAGTATTGTCGCTGAGTGTGAGGGGTTGGTATTGACTTGGACAAAGGATGTCGGGATCGCCGCTCTTGAGACTCCAACCCCGTAAGGGATACTCCGAAAAGACCATTGCCAAGAGCCACGGAATCAAATGTCCTAAGCAGTTGCAAACTGGCTGAAGCAGCTGCTTAGGATCACGAGTTGTACAGCAAAAAATGTAAGACTCACCAATTAACTGTGCAAGTGAAATAACACTTCGTTGAGTCCTTTAAAACTCGGAAAGTGACAGAGCGACAGAGGAGTTTGATATGTGAAGTGCTACAAAACATGATTAGCTAAAGATGTCGGAGTCAGCATCTCTTCACCACCGAATCAACCCAATCTCTGGAGATCTGGCTCTGGGGCCCCAACATTCTGTCCTGCCTGATCCGAGGCCCGGAATGAAATGAGCACTTGGTGACGTTGTGCATGACGGAGATGACGGAGCCCTGCCATGGGCCCTGGGGCCCCCCTGGGGCCCCCCTGGGGCCCCATGGGCCATCAGCATGGTGATGCATGGTGAACCTCGTGCTCGCCGAGCCAACATCTCGGAGAGATCGTGTCGTTGCCAATTGCGTGATTGAAGTGACCTGAGGCAACAGATTCCATCAGATTCCCAAAAAATGGCTCATTTCGATGGAATATCATGGAATATCATGGGATATCATGGGATAGAGCACAAAGGGGCTTCCATACTTCACCATCACCAATTTCTGCATCACTATCGTGTTGCACCAACTTTGGTCATATTTGGTCATCGAGCCATATTGAGATACACATAGATACACCAACAGCTTTTCACCTCAGTTTGCCTTGATTCATCTTGGGGTAGCACTGCCGATGATGTCCAGAACTGTGCGCTTCTCGCAGAACATGTCGGTGCCAGAGTCAGCACCTCAGTTTGCTATTTTTCTTGCGGACCGCAAAGGTTGCCTTATAAGGACATATGCATACAGCATACACATGCATTTTCTATCCGATAAAAGTCTGCAATACCTTGCCGCATATTTTTCTGCACTGCTGGTGTGTGTCTTCCACATCACTTTGGCAATTCCAACCCTTTCCACCCTTTCGGCCTAAGTTCCACACTGACTCGAGTAGGAGTGGCATCAAAGAGCGTCGGTGCGGCAATCACATCCATGGCCTGAAGCATGTGCAATTTTCAAAGCTCATGATAAACTATGATAAAATGATATAACATGTTCATCTGAGTGAAATCAACTTACCAACCATGGCCAACCTCACTCTGGTGATCGATTTCTATCTATGGGAGCTTTCCAAGTCTGAGATACAGGCAATTGGCGGTTCTGACCAGTGCACCCCGCCGTTCAACCTTGCTCCGCCAGGACTGCGGTCATTTGATGCGACATGCCGATGTTTTCTTGCAGAACAAGACATGCAACTGCCTGGGACGGATACACAGTGATACACACTACAAATTTTGCCAAATAATCATAAATAATCCCAAAGTGTTCTAAGAGTCAAGCGATACTTTCAGCTGGCATTTGCTGCGGCCACTCAGGCCAGACCAAAGACGCCCCACCTTTGATGGTCAGAGGATGGTCAGAGGTTCTTCCATGCCGTTCCCATCCCAATGGCAAGATGGCAGATGGCTTGGCAGATAGTTGTAGTATGTTGTAGTTTCTTGATCTGCAACTGGTGCAAAGATGTCGAAATAAGGATGGCCTGTTCCTCCAGTTTCGGGGCAGTATGGGGGAGTGACTTCATTTTACTCTTCCCGGTGCCTGCGGCAGTGGACAAGAAATCAAGCCTTCATCCTCCATGCACGCACAGAATCGCAGCTGAAATCAGTTTTCTGGTAAGGGTTTTAACTTTCCTAGCTTTTGATGTGTTTGATGTTCTGGTGGTCAGTGGTCTTGTGATGTTCTTGAGCATCAAGCTGCTACTAGAGCAGAGCTTTGCCATTTGCACAAGATTCTCTACTTGTGTTTCAGCATGGGGGCTTCAGAGATGCATCAGCTGTATCTCTCCTGACTTCGGATGTATCCAAATTCAGTTGCGACGGAGCCGTTGATGAACTCCACATCATAGCCTAAAGAGCTTGAGATAGTTTGAGTGTAACTTTGAGGCACATCAAGACCCTTCGAACATGGATGATAAGGATGAATAAGGATGAGGTTTCTGCACGGGAAAGAGACACAATGTGAAAATATGTCAACATTCTGATATATAATATAATTAATACATATGATACAGTAATGGACTCTTAGCATTGAAGACTTACACCTGATCTTGTGAGCTGGCAAAGTTTCGGACAATGCTCCATGCGACAAAGAGGTTGCACATCGATGGGCACACGGCCTTGTGGAGAGGGCTGATATCATCCCAGATTCTTGGAGTATCTTAGATTGACACCCATGGCCTGCCATCTTGATGTCAGCTGTCAGGTGACTTGATCCTTGGACACTGTTGGAAGTTGGAATAACTTGGAGTTGATAACTGGGACTGAGAAACCAAGGTGAAAAAAAAACATCGCCACTTGTTCAACTCGTGGCAACTCGTGGCAACATGGAAAGTGTTGCAAAATACTGGCAATGTGTAGCAACTTGCGGCTAGGGTCTTAAAAATGCTAGTGTCCAAGCCCCGTGCCGACCATGACAAGGGGTTTGGATGTCTGCGCTGCATCCAAAGTAGGCAAGACCTTTTCTGGATCAACATTCCGAATGGATCGAAATGTCAGGTAGATTAAAAGCAATCTGAGAGCTCGCAGCTTTCTATATCTGTTCATTAATTTGCGAATTGCAATAACCTGTTCAATCATGTTTAATTCTGTTTAATCATATATAACTGTCATGGAACATGTCAACTATTTCAAAACTCGGATATAATTTCAGATGTCATCTCTGTTGCATGATGTAACGCATGATGCAACGCATGTATCACTTCAGTCCAGCCTGGATGGGAATTGGCTCAAGAGACAGGGGCGGATCGAACGGCCTGTCTGGACCTGAGGATCCCATGACAGCGCAGGGGCATAGTGATGTAATACCCTCTGATAAACTAACATAGCTATTGAACATAGCCCATTTATAGATGGTTTACCCATTAAAAATGGTGATTTTTCATAGTTATGTTAAATTACCAGAGGGTATACTGCTCATGCTACACTGGGATTCTGCAGATTCAGAATGTGAATCTGCTCAGCAATGCTCAGCAATGCTCAGCAATGCTCAGCAGATCAGTCAGGCCGTTTCGTACTGGCCTCTGTTCCGAAGCCAGCACTACAATGTGATGCTGCTAAATGCAGCGTGACTCTCAGGGCAGTGCTGAAGACTAAAGACCTTGGCATCTGAAGAGCAATGGCACGAATCAAAACTCAAATCAAAGGGCATATGTAATTAAAAATTCAATAACAACCCACATCCAACCCATCCAATTCTACATTGCCGCCCTGACATCACAAGCGTCCGTTCATCGCTCTGGCGTTCACAACAGTCATCCACGAGTTCCCAACACACTGAGGATCACGTCCGGCGGAAAGCCACCGTCAGGGGAGTGGCCTCAGTTCCCGTCTTTTCGGGGCATCGGAGGTGCTCAACGTTCATGTCATAGACAATCATGTCATGAATCAACTGTTGGCTTGGAGACCAAATCGGAACCAAAACTCACAGTCAAGAAGAAACGTGGGATACCGGGATACTATACCTGGATATCATATAATCATATGATTTAACTACATATATTTACCCTCTGGTTATTCAACATAGCCATGGGAAATGGCCCATAGAAATAGATGGTTTACCTATTAAAAATGGTGATTTTCCATGGCTATGTTTAATAACCAGATGGTAATTAACTATATTTAACTATGATGTATTTACATTGTCCCTGCAATTTGCTGGGTCCCAAGCAGGTCCAGGAGATGTTTGGCATCCGTCGAACAGCCTCGTGACTGCCCCAGCTCTGATCCGATCGATGAATATCTATGAAAATCTATGAATATCTCTGAACGAATGGTGCTAATGATAAAATATAAAGACTTAAACATGACATAAACCATGTATTTTTCGCAAGTGACGTTTACTTCAAAACTGTCCAGTCCTTCTGTTCAGTGGTGTCGAAAGGCAAAGCTCGCATTCGCAGATCATCTTCAGCAATTTTTCCTGCACAAGATAATTCAGAAATTGCCATCCAGTAGGAAAAGAGTAACCTCTCACTGGATGGGTTGCATCGTATCATGTCTGTATTGTGGATGTGTACGCATGCTCAGGGGAACTCAGTATTGGTTTCGCAAGAAAGCATAGAAGAATGGCGGTTGTCCAGTGTTGTTTCGTCCGGCTTTGTAAAGGATACAGGCATCTAACTTCCTAGTATCTTGCGTGCCTTCTCAAACGTAGAGTATTGGATATTTAAAGTATATTCAGTTTGATTCAAACA